GCACCGCTCGCACCGGGCTCGGCCCCCCGAGAACAGCCCGGGCACCGCTCGCACCCCCGGCAGGTCCCAGCACCCCCGTGTCTCCCCGGGGCCAGCGCAAAGGCGCTCAGCGCAGCCCGCCCTGCTGGGGCGAGCCCGGCAGCTCGGACCTCGGTCCCCATTCCTGTGGCTGCTCCAGCACAGAGTCACAGAACCATTCCAGGATGGAAAAGACCTCTGAGTTCGCCGAGTACAACCTGTGATCGCTCCCCACCTCGTCACCCAGCCCAGAGCACTGAGTGCCACGTCCAGTCGTTCCCTGGACACTTCCAGGGACGGTGACTCCACCACCTCCCCGGACAGCCCCTTCCAAAGCACTGCCCTTGTTCCCAGGACTTAACAAGGTCCTGGGGGTACACCCTCCTCCCCAGGCTCGACCTGCCGAGCCGAGCCCCTGCCCAGAAGGCACTTTGGGGGCGCCGACCCCTCGCCCCACGTCCCGGGGCAGCGGCACCCCCTCCGTTCCCCACGGGCCCCGTGTTCCAGCTGGGATCTCACAGAATTGCACGTGGGGAAGGCACATGGCACCAAACCCGTCCCGTGCCGTGGTTGATACAAGCTGTGTTCAAACACAGCGGTTCCAGGGATGCCACGGCTCCCAGAGCTCATCCCTCTCCTGGAGCTGGCAGGCTCCCTACAAACGGAGTCAAGAAATTGGATTTGCTCCCCCAGCTGTGCAAAGGAGTAGCAGGTCTGACTCGGCAGAAGATCAACATAACACCACAACCAGAAGAAAGGGAAGATAAAAGGAAAACAGTTCCACCTAGAGACCTTTTTCTGCTGACAGAAGTCAGCATCTGCTGGCTGAAGGGCAGGAGAACAGAAGTCCAGCTTGTCCCACAGGACAGGGAGCTGCAGAAACCAGCAGAAAGCCCTCGTTGCTCTCTGAGCAAATGTCCAGCATGAGCTAGACAGTGTCAGAAAGTGCTTTCCCAAGCCCAGGCAAAAGAACAGATTTAATAATCATTTCGACTCCACCCCATTGCACAGCAGAGTGCACCGTGATTTTGTCACACTTTAGCTTACAGAAGTCACCACCACAGCTGAATCTGAGGTAGTGACAGAGGCCCCTCACAAGGCTGACATATAAGAAGAAAAAAAAAGAAAAAGAAAGAAAATTAATCAGATCTCTGAGTTTGCTAGTCCTGTACTTACAGGTCCAGTAGCCAGGAACACTGAAGGAATCACCTCTGTGGAGGGAGCTGCGGTTTGAAACAAAACAGGAAGACTGTTCCCCCTCCTTCTCTTAGCATCTTCAAAGGATTTTCTGAACACCAGCTCTCTGAGACCACCATATTCACAACCAGCAATTTGTTCAACCTTATTGTATCTTCTGTGTGTTCTTTTCCAGCCACCAAAAAATCAGTAATAAAAATATTGGGGAAAAGCCTCCCCAGACATCCAGGTGCAAATGCCTGACCGTCCCCCAAACCCAAAATCACACCGAAATCATACTGACCACAAACACCTGAAATGGCCACAGGTTTCTTTAGCAGCAAAGCACTCAATGCTCAGAAAGAGCAGAGCAAACCATTGCCTCCTGCAATTTCAGCTCCTGTGAGACAGCTGTGATAACAGACACGGTGGGGGACAGGTGGATCAGGAGCCCTGAACTCAGCCAGGGACAGGTGGATCAGGAACCCTGAACTCAGCCAGGGACAGGTGGATCAGGGAGAGCACTGATGGAACCCTGAGGACAGCCGCGGTCTTCGTTCACTGCTTCCAGCAAGAGCAGCTTACAAAAGCAAAACAGGAGAAGGCTTTACTTTTAACCCAAACTCTTTGTGCTGGAGGCCCCATGTAAAGCTGTTTGGTTAAAGCCTTTGGACCACCTGTAAAAGTTGGGCTTGTAACCACGATGGTGTCGGCAACAAAAGACAAACCAGCCTCTGCTCAAAAAACGAGGTCTGTATATAGAATGATTGTGCAGAAATGCATCTCAAAAATGTCTCACTCATTTTCCTCTCTGTTACAAGCACATCAGTAACTAAGATATAAGTGTGATGCTCTAAATGCCATTTTCTGGCACGTAGGGTGGGAAAGATAAGTTTATATTAATAAATTTGGGCCCTGCATTCAGACTTCTCAGGAGAATTTAAACCAGGGACACTGAAAAGCAGATTTAAAGCAAAAATGAAAAAAAGAAAACACCAGTTGTTTTACATGCAAAATGTAATTAGCTGATGCAACTCACTTCAGCTAGAACCTAAGTGAGATTCAGGAAAGGATCAGACATTTACATGAATAATGTGAATATCCAGATCAACAAGAGAGAACAGTTTGCAGAATACAGTCTCATTTCTTAGAGCATAAACCAGCCTCTGGCAGATGCATTTTGGAAAAGGCTCCTCAGGGAAGGCTGCCTCATAATTTCCTCCTTAATTTTCCTGCACCCTCTTTTGAAGCAGTGTTGCCTGTAGGAAACTATTAAATACAGGATCAGCCTGGACTGGGAGTTCTCTCTTTGGGGTTGCATACAGGGAGCTTTGTTAAGGAACTCCTGGGCAGTGCACATTATCTCATCTTTAACAATGTGGTTGTACAGCATAATGCTAGAAAGCAAATACTGTGTATCAGCCTTATATCTGCTGAGGGACTTGCAGGACATTTAATGGTACAGAAAGGGGATGTTATCCACACGGGGACAGTCCAAGCACTGGAATCATGCACTGGATGAATGTGGTAAAGCATAAACACAAAAGCAACCAAAAGGAAATAAAATTAGTTTTGTACAGTCTGCTGAGAAACTTCAGTGAATCACTCAGGGCTGCAAGCCAGCCTTCCAGGCTGGGATTTGGGTCACTGGCACTTCAGTCACAGATTCTGACACCGAGGAAGTCCAGGCAGGCTGCACAAACCCTCATTTAACTCTTGCCAGTGCTGAAAGCAACCAACCTTTTTATTAGGCAGCCCTGAAAGCAGAAGTCATGACATGGCAGCCTTCCCATCCTCCTCTGGTAGCTCGAGTAAGCACCAGGGGCTGTGTTTGCCACATTCTCCCAGAGGTGAAACTTGTAATAAGCAGTAGAAATCCATGATGTTGTGTTCACTGATCTCAGGGCTGATCCCTGCATGACCACGTGTGCACTGAGAACATGCAGTTTACTAGAAACTCAGGTCCTAAATTCCTAATTGAAGTCTGACTACACAGCTCCTCTGGCAGCTTGTTCTTTTAGTCACTCATCAGTTGAGGGTGAATTCTTGTCCTCTTCATCAGGTGTATTTTTTAGCTGCTGACGAGCAAACTCCTCAAACACCAGCTCTGCTTCACTGCAATGGAAGGAACACAGGTGTTTGAAAATGATGTCAGCCGTGTTTTGTACCAGCAGACTACAAGCACCAGATTGGAGGGAGAAGAGAGGCCTGGAGCAGCCTGGTAATGTTTCCTTTGACTTCAAGGGGATTTGGATCACATCCCCACAGGCACTGGTGCTATTCTAGCTAACAGGAAAAGCAGTTGATTGAGCAAGTCAGGACACAAACTGAGGAGGTTTTCATGGGTACTGAATCATGTCCACTCCAGCTACATATTTATCAGCTATCTGAACAGCCTGCAGCCTGAAAGGGGCTTTGTCCAGGAATAAAATGTGCAACCTTTCATCTTTATTCCTTCTGTACTAAAATAGAGGCACATGGTCAAATCTACTAAGTTCCTGAGAATTTGAGCTACAGAACATCAGGTAGGCACAAACATACCCCTCCCTCAACTGTGAGGCAAAACATGTTCTCTTAATCAAATTTCACATGGTCAGCCCTTGCTGGTTAACTGAGAGCAGTCATTTGTCAGGCCACAGTAACTTGCTCACTTTGGATTTTAAGCTGGGGATTTTTGGACAGTTCTGAGAAGCTTTCAAAAGAGTCAAAGAACAAGTGCAGCCAGAATGTGAAATACTAAAAGAAACTTACCCATCCTTCCCTGCAGTCAGCCACATGCAGCAAGGGAGGAAAAAAAGACACACCAGGTAGTTAGAACAGCAGATGCTAAAACATTTGCAAAATATTTAATGCAAAGATGTATAGACTGACAAGTCAAAGCAGTGACAAGCAGTAGGATTTGCAGCAGTATAAGGAGAATTCCAGAAAGTCTCAAAATGTGCATACATGCACCTGATGAAGCAAAACTTGATCTCCCAAATGGAAAAGCGCTCCAGCAACATTGTCCAAGCCATCAGAAGGGCTGAGAAACCAAGACAGATTCTCCCATCTATGCTTGCTTGTGGTCACAGCTGGGGGAGACATCTGGGCACACACTTGGACTCTGAGCTGACATGGTGTCAGCTTTAAGTGCTCTGTCACTGTGACTGAAGGGGACAGCTGAAGAGAAGACATGCTCTTGTTCAATAAACATGAGGGGACTAAAATCAGAGGTCAGAGTAAAGAAAGGCCTCGTGGTCTCTCATTAGATAGGTTATGCCCTTGAGGCAACACTCCTGATTTCATCTTTCCCTAAAAATAGCCCCAAGACCTTTGGCATTTGTGTTTCTTTAATGGGATCTTTGCTAACCACACTAACAAATGCTGCTTGCTAGCAGGATTCCCTGGAAGCTGTTTCAGCACAGTCTAAAATAAGCAGAACAGACTGTATTTGCAGGTATTTTTTCGTTCTCACAGTTACTTTATCTTTAGCAAGTCGCAGTCACTTTAGGTTTCAGTCAGGGAGCAAAGCCCACCTCGTTCTTCAGAAGTCACTGGGGATCTGGGATGCCTCAGCAACTGGAGAACTCATTACCTGGAGAATTCTCATCCACAGCACACACTGAAATCAAGGGTGAGTGGTGAAAAGCACTGCTGGAAAAGTCAGCATCAAAAGTGTTGCCAAATGGGGCTGCTCCAGCCAAAATGCCTCAGAATGCCTCAAAGGATGGATCATGCAAAGACAGTCCTGATGGTATCTATCCAGACACAGATGGTTTCCTCTACTCCCAGAAGCCAAGATGAAGTCTGGAAAATCTCAGGGTATGTATGCTTGATTGCAATGGAGTTAAAGTAAAACTTTTAGAACTTCTAAAATTTCCAACACATCATTCACATTTCATTTTTCCTCCAATTTTTATTTGTTAAAGAGCCTGCTCTCTGAGGTACACTCATTGCTATGGGAACAGTGGTGTCAGTGATGTGGGTGAAGCTGAGCGAGATCCCACCAATGTAATTTGAAACCAATTTTGCAAAATGGATTGAAGGGGAAAATAGGTTTTGTTTCATTTGGGCATATACTTCTCTGGGAGATAAATGATTACTGAATCAATACATGGTGTGGCAGCAGAGTAATGCTTATTATATAGCTCAGAAGGCTCAAGTTTACATTCAAAGATGCACTGCTTCACCCTCAGGCTGTGGCACTGCCTCCCACATGCCACACTGGCACCCTTGCAAGAGGCCTGCTCCAGAGTCCTCTTGCTGTCCAGTGCCTTATTTAATACCATAAAATTGAAAAATTCCCAGAAAATGGGTAGACTTTTGCTTTTTTTAATTAACATTCCAGCAATTGTTTTGAGGGTTGGGGTGGGAGGGGGATTGATGCGGCTGCAGAAATGCCATCATACTCTCTGCAGGGTTTTCTGTGAGCTTTCATTATGCAGCCACAGAAATGATTCCATATAGTTAAAGTTGTGGCATACAGTAATTTTCATTATAAGCTTGCTTAACCTCTCTTAACTTTATGGGAGAGGAAAAAAAAGGTAGCTTCTGTTATTTTTCAAGACGTTGAAGTGCTTTAAAAATTCGCTATTTTCTGTAAGTCACAATAGCAACGCAGGGAAGGTATTGCTTTACTATTAGAGGGACAAAGCATTCTTGGGTTTCCTGAAACCAGCCCTTTCATGCAAGTTTAACCAGGGAGCAGATAAACGACTATTTGTTGAACAACAGCCAAAACAAAGACAAGGGTTTAAGACATAAGGCCACAAAATGTAAAACATCAGGAGATGGGCAGGAAAACCCCAGACCAAAGAACTCACGCTGAGACCACAGCCTTGAGGAAAACCCAGCAGGAGCTTCTGGGCTAACTGCTGACTGGGAAAGGTCTTGGAAGCATGAAGGGACACAGCCCAGTTTGAGTCTATCTTTAAAAGAAATAGATCCCTACACATTTTTTGTCAGCAGGCAGAAAGGACAGACTTACCAGTGTGACAGGAGCTGCTTTGCCTAAAAATAACCCCCCAGGGACCACATGGGTCTAAACCCAGTCAAAAACCCAGCACAGATAAAAATGCAAATCCCAGACTCCCAGGGGTCCGAGGGAAGGAAGCTGTAAATAAACACAGGAAAGGGAAGGTGGCAAGCCTCTCCTTTTCTGTCTCCTCTGGGCACAGGGAAGAAGGACCAAGCAATCTGCAATAGACCTGCTCTTCCCTGAGGAATGAAGGCTCCAGAGCTCTCATGGACAACCAGAGAGGGCAGAGCAATCTGCCGAGGAATAAAACACATGCCACTTGGTCACACTCACCCCGTTTGGCCCTAAAAAAATTAAACCATGTGCTTGGGAAGCTTGTGTTTCTGAAGTTCTCTACTCTCAAGTCAGCCTCTGCATGATTAAAGGCATTATGTTTTACTTCTGCCATAAATCCACCTTGGCTGGAGAAAAGGATATTCCCCCACTGCAAGGAATAAATCGTAATATGTGGCGGGTTTTAGTCCCACTTAAGCTTTGACTCTCTAAGTTGGTTCCTTTGACTCTTTTCTCCCAGCTGTGCCTTCAGACAAAGTCAAGTACAGCAGGGAGGTGCAATAGGCAAACTGGTTCCTACTGACTCATCATTTCAAACAAAAGGGAACGGAAAGAGAAGATGAGGAGGGATCTCGAAATTCCCTAGGCATGCATCCCTGCCTACATCCACTGCACAGGCTGCTGAACAGTTCCATCTTTTGGGACCTTTGAGAGTCTAAACACTGTTTGTTGAAGCTCCATCTCTGCAATTAAGTCTTGATGTGCTTGATTCCAAATTAGATGGTGTTTTACTAATGAAACACATTGTACTTCTCAGGGCTCATGAGCTAAAGTGGTAGAATAAAAAATTAAAAAGCCTGAACTCACAGTTGGGAAAAGTGATTAGGCACAGTGCATGGAAAACTACCAGCAATAAAGCTGGAAAGGATTTGACTTTACCAGCTTCATCTGGGAGGCTATTTTATTCACTGTAATAAGCTCAGACCCCACATTCCAGCACAATTTTCAAGTCAGCTATGCAGGATTCAGAGGAGTTTTCTGTTGTGTTAAAGTATCTTTTTTTAAGAGAAACCATTTATTTCCCGAGGTAACCATTTGCAGGGCTTTCCCAGGGGATAGCTCCTGAAGCTGCCTGCCTTTTCCTTCAGTTTGTAAGGAAGCTGCAGTTTCCATGTGTACAGAATGCATGGACCATAGCTGTCTTCTGACAGCAAGCCCCTACAAGACTTTGATGTAGCAAACAATACATGGGCCGTGCCCCTGGTAAGAGGATGTGCTGGGGGAAGCGATCTGAGAAATATTACAGTTCTCCATTTCCCCTCCAAAGTCTTCTGCCCACATCCTTTTGAGTGTCCTTTATAAAGGAGTACATCAGCCCTCCTTTGAATTGATCTTAGAAGGGAAAACTGCCCGATTCCCATTTTTTCCTCGTACTACAAATGCTTCTCCCAGAATTATAAAGTAATAAAAAGGGGGTTGTGGCATTGTCAACACCAAAAAAAAAACTCATGCAAAAATATTCTCACCGTTTTAAAAATGTAAAATTCTTTACAGTTGCCTATGCCTTTGGATGAGCCTCGTTAGAAGCTTTCAAGCTTCCCTTGGTGTCCATGAAAGCTCTGGATTTTGCATCCTGAGCTGCCCCCAGGCCCTCACCAGCCACTGCTCCTGGGGCCACCAGTGCCATCCCAGCCCCTCACCGTGCTCTGTCTGTGCTCAGGGGCTGTGCTGGCACAGCTTTCCCAGTGAAAATGAGTTTCCTGGAGTACAATTCTTACAATTCTACCTTTGCCCACTCTAGCACATCCATAATTAGCAAACCCCGACTCCCAGAGCACAGAGTGGATCACCAGCATCTCTGCTCATCGCTTACACTTGATTCCTGCAACAATTTCACAACAAGGACTCAATGTTTCTAATGCTGCTGGTACAGAACAGAGCATCTATCTCAGGGTACCTCTTCTCACAGGTTCTGCCACCACCTTCCTGTGGTCACATTCTTAGAAACAGCAGCTTTAGGTACATTTGGGTCCAAAGAGAAAAAAGGAAAGAAAAAGCAACACAGAAGCAGCCACGGGGTTTTTGTTTGAAGCCCCCCTGTCCAAACACAGGGGCAGGCCAAGATGGCTCATCTGTAACACCCCCAGCACAGAAAGGCTGCTGTGTTTGTGTTCAGGAGCTGCTTCAGAGCTGGACAGGAGCCTCTGATTTTGTGTGAGCACCTTGTCTCTGGCATTCACCACTGGAGAACAGAGCCAACCAGAGCCTGAGGAAGTGAGAGGAGAACACAGATGCTCCTGACAGCCTGTGGTTTTGGCATCTGATCCCAAGCCTCAAGATGCCTGGAGAAGGCTTACTCCTTACACTGCTCTAGAGTTCCCACACTTCCCTGCACAGATCTGATGCTGAGGAGCCTTTCCTCTTGGCTAATCACTGAACATAAAGGATAACAGGGTCTCCAAAATCATCAATAGTTTTACCACCTCTTAACTTTGCTTAAAAGTATTTTGCTTTTTACAGTGCTCACATGTGTTAGGTATTTTCCAATGGGTTTTTTTTTCTTATCCTGGAACGTGGCTGGGAATTGCTGACACTTCATTTGGGACATTTTACTCTGTAGTCATGAGATTTAACTGTGCAGTGCTTCCTCAAGCCCCTGTCCTTTGAGCTGTGATTCCACAGATGAAAGATGAAAAGGTAACATGACTCATTTCCATTTTCTCCCATCTTAGCATCCCTTCTGCCTGTTATTTTGTGCCTTGAGGTTGATATATATATATATATATATATATATACACACACATAGAGCAGCTCCATATTGGAGCCTTGTGGGCTCTAAAGGCTTCCTGAAGCACAAATCCCTCGATGCCTTACCCTGGTGAGATCTAATTGGAGTCTGTTAAGGAACAAAGGCAAAACTCAAGTGTCACTGACCTGCTGGGCTCCTCTCCTCAGGTTTGGGGTGCATGAGACGGAACGGCAGCTCTGTGCCCACTTCACTTGGGGGAGAAGAGAGACTGCATCAGACCCACAGCTCCATTCATGCCTGGTCCAGACCTCTTCCCAGTTCAGGCCAGCCCCAGCCCCCAGCTCCACCTTCACCCATTCTTTCATATTTTCTAATCATAATTTTCCCCTCAAGGAGAGTTAAACTTCAATTTCTCCACAATTTATCCCAGGCATATCCATGTTCATGAACTGGGTTTATTATTATGTGCTGAGTGTATTTGCATGGACATAAAATCAAAGATATCTTTGTAATTGCTTCATTTTCACAGCTGAATGCACAAACTTCTTGCTTCTATCAGCTTAAGGGATAGTTATTTTTTTTACGGAGGTGGGAATGGGAATAGAAAAGAGGGTAAAAAGATGAATTAACAACTAGGACTGCATGGTCTGAAAAGGAAGATGAGGTTTACCTGGAAGTGAGGTCTCCCAGCATGCTACAAAAGAAAACAAGGAGAAAAACAAAGAATATTTAATGCCTTTCCATTCTGGTGCTTTACCAAATGCTGTTTTATTGTAGACTATGGAAATCACTGTCCTCATATACTGTTCTCTGCTTGCCACAAAGCATAAAATCCAAATAAACCTGTTTTTAAAAAAATAATCTTCATTTTTCATGTCATTCCCATGGAGAAAGAGCCTAAGAACTCCTGACCAAGTGTTGGGCATGGCCCCTTTTCCAAGAGCCAAAGGAGCAATTGGAGGTCCACAGAAGGCAGCAGGCATTTTATCAGGCTTTAGGCAAATCACTGATTCATTTTTATGCTAGAAAGAAGGACAGATGAATGAAATACAACTAACATCAACTGAGAGTTATTATCCCTGTCCTCTTTTGCACTATATCCTGGAACTAGCTCATGTTGATAACATCAGCTTTTCCTAGAAAGCTGGCTTAGTACAGAACCTGAGCTACATCATTTATGACTCTCAGGCAGATGTTTTCACCTTCTGGTCTGAAAGAACAACGCCAACATAAAGGCTCACACAAAGTTTCACTTAAGTTCTCACAAAACAGGTTATGACTTTGAAACAAAATGTTGCAATGCAAACCAGAGGTTCCTGCTTGAGCCATGCAGTCATGTGGTGCCTACGGGTGGCAATCCAAACCCTCTGGTTCAGGTCAAGTTCTTTGGACAGGCCAAGATTGATTTCCAGGAAATTTATGCTTTAGGAGGAGCCTCACATCCTACAACATGTGCCCTTTTTCTTGGGGTGGACTGTCCTGCTCCCTCCCCACCCTCACTGATGGACACACACTCCCCTCTCTTAACTCCAGGCAGGTACAGCAGAAAGGGTGTCACACTTACCCTGGAACAGTGAGCTTCACTTTGACCTTGTAGGAAACCAGGATCCCCATCACTGTCTTGTCTATTCCATCCTTAATGCTGCCAGAGAAAACAGCAGTGTGAGGTTGTGAGGTAGCACAGCAACATGGCACAACACACACCTGGAGCAAGAACTAGGGGAACATCCTGAAGGTGGTAGAGCAGACAAGCCTCAGGGACAGGCTCCAGCTCTGCAGAGCTGTGACCACACACCCTGAGCGAGTGTGACAGGGTCAGTAATGCTGCTCACACCTGGACATACAGTTACAAAGTCCTGACAGAAGGGTGTCCTCCATCCTCCTCTCTGCTTTATAACTCGCCCACTGCCTGGGACCATTTAAAACTCCACTCACATAGTACTAGAAGCCAAGTTGGTGTCCTCATCCTTTAGTTTTCCATCCAGAGCTATTTCCCGCATCTCCCGGTTATTTGCAAGCAAGGGCAAAAGTGTCAGTGTCTTGGTCAGGCTGCTGTTGGGCTGCACCTTTTCCCTGAAAATAACAAGGGAAATGATACACTCTGATTTGTGTTACATACCCAACCAAGAGAACTGCAAAACAGAAATTACAAAGCTGCCCAAAAGGAGAAGAATTTAACCCAATTTAGTTGCCTGCAATGCATATGTCTGCATCTCATCTAGTCAGTAAAATTCCCTTTATAGTCAGCAAAGAAGAACAGGCACTTACAGGAAATGCTTAATTTCACATTAAGGCAGAAGAGTAGGTCAAAACTATAGAATTGTACATTAGTTTAGTTTGGAAAAGACCTCTAAGATCATGGAGTCCAACTGTTAACCCAGCACTGCCATGGCCACCACCAAACCATGTCCCCAAGTGCCACATCCATTTTTCCTAATATCCCATCTACCCCTCCCCTGGCACAACTTGAGGCCATTTCCTCTATGCTTCAGACCTCCAAATCTGGACAAAATGAATCCTAGCTAAGACCAATACTCAAGGGAAAACATGTCCCTAAGTTACAGAGCAAAACACCAGACAAGTATAAAGTATCTGGGTGTGCCCAACCCTCCTCACAAACTGAAGTTCAGTGCTGCCCTGCCAGGGCAGTGAAAAAAAGCAAGTGGTTCTCCATAATGCCAACAGGCTCCAGGTTTTCATGGACTTTCTCAGGCCAAAAAGAACCAAATGAAATGGTGTGGAAAAGACTGGCCTCAAGCTAGAGTATCCATGTCAAGCTAGAGTATCCATGACTGCCACTCAAAGAGCAGCACCTTTCAGAAAAGTGCTGCACCTGTATTTAAAGATTTCCAGCAACAGGGAACCTTCCACAGCCCCTGCTAAGCTTGTCTAGTAAGCAATTACTCTTCAAACCTCTTCTGCAACCTCCCCATTCCCTGAAACATTGTGCAGGGTCCCTGCTGGCTCTCTGAAAAAGAGACCAGCTGCATCTATAGAGCATGGATGTGGCACACATATGAGGGAAGAGAGGAGAGAGCACTGCAATGACAGGCTGTAATTAGGAGAACCCCCCATTACTCACAAGGAGGGTCATTAAAAGGGTGCAAAGGAGCAGGAAGGGAGAAGCAGAGCATTCACTCACTGTGCTTCCTCAGCAGCCACCACTTTGGTATAGTAGTCACTGGAGTACAGCACCACATTGGCAACCTGCTCCACTGAGGGAGGAAGGAGAAAGCGAACATCAGTCGTGTGTGTGCGCCAGAAGCAACACAGCTGCCCCTGCCCTGAGTCTCAGGAATGGGAAACATGACAAGGACAGCAGGAAAACCCATCCATTTGGAGCCTGAAAGGACCACCAGGTCTGACAGCCTGACCTGGACAGAGACCAACAGCACACCAACAGCCAGGGTGGATCTCCCATGAAAGGCACCTGGCCTTGATTTGGAGACAACAGAAACTCAATTACCTATGGTTTCCCTTGGGAGCCTTCTCTTTCCATTATAAAGACCTACCTCTTCCTTGTCTAACCATGTCTGCTTTTATCTCTGGTCCTGGTGTCTCTTTGCATTTGCATTCAGGAGACACCATCATCACACAGACTGCAGTCAAGAGCCTGTGATAGCAAATGGCTTATATTCTCCAATCTAACACAAAACCCCCCAAGGTAATTCTGACTGAAACACTGATGAGGACAGAATCTGGGGACCAACAAGGTTTTTTAAAGCCTAACAGAGGCATATCAGACTAAAAATATTTGGAAATCGCTAGACAGTGCATCCAAGATGGGCACTGAAATGGCTTTTTCTGCTGTAGAGTTTTGTAGGAACCTCAGCCATTTTGTTCCTTCCCGGCCTTCTGTTCTCTTTCTCATCTCTTGTCTCTCAGACCATCTTCCTCAGCTCTGCAGCTTGTGGCATGAGAACATGTAGTGCCACAAATAAAACACAGGCACAGTGCTGAGCTCAGCCCCTGCCCTCAGCTCCTCAGGAATCACAGCATTGCTGGCAGAGGGGCTGTTCCTCTCATTGCCATGTTTCTGGAACACTAGGCAGAGCTCTATGGGAGCGAGGCACATTCACAGTTAACAGGAGCATCACACTGACAGGGAGCCCTTCCCACTGCCCTCCCCAACAAGGGGTGGATTTTCCCCCCAGGACCTGCCTTGCTTGCCCACTGCAGATGACAGACCCTCTCTCTTTACTAGATGGAACAATCTGGTGCCTCACATTAAGACTTAGAACTAACCACAAGAGTAAGGAAAAAAGTTCCAATGTTTCACTTGATGAACAGCAAAGGAACAGCAACAGACAGGGTGAAGGGACAAATTCTGTACTCCCTAATCACTTTCTTAAGCTGTTGCAAGCACTAAATTTTGGCTCTTTTTCAGTCCTATTCCGCTCAAAGAATCCTAAGCAACAGTCAAAACATACCCTGGACTTTGATCTTCTTCACAGTTTTCTCCGTGCTGTTGTTGATGGTGACAGTGACTGGAATGGGCTCGCCATGGTAGTACACCTGGAAGGAATTTGATGCTCAGAAATCCAGCCAGGAGACTTCTCCCAAGCCCTAATCCCCTCTAGTTCCCCCAGATTACATCACACAAAGGCTGAATAAGGGAAGATGACCCTTCCTAATGATTCATGACCCTTCTTTCAGTGACTTCTTTAGCCTCAAATGTGTCTGGTAACTGGGTTTCAGCCTCCCCTAACAGCAGCTGCTGACAGGAATTACATTCCCTATAGCCCTTGAATGGTGGGACTAAGTCTGTCTGAGCTGAGACAGCAACACATGAAGTAGCTGCTTTGGGCAGCAAAATGCACACTGGCCTGCCAATCCTGGGCTGTCCACAGCCCTGGAACAAGTGTCTCCCTCACCTCTTTGCTGAGGCAAGCTTTCAGCTGGAGGGGCTTGCTGGACATGAAGAACTGCCAGGTGGTCTCTGCACAGGGTTGGGGTCCCGGCTCCTCTGGAGCGTACTGCACCTTACGGATCAGCAGACGAGCAGAGTTCCTGGGAAGCAGCAGAGGACAACGTAGTGGTACCTTGTGCTTGGCAGAGGCAGGAGTTCTGCACTCACACGTGTTTACCCCCAAGAAGTCCACTGACAAGTGGGGCACAGCTGAACAAGCAACCGAGGGGCATCACTGGAGCACCCACCCCCTTTAAGGGCAAAGCTGAAGACAGACACACACATTCTGTTACCTCTTATGAATTCTCTCTTCCACATTCTCTGTTGAGAAAGCTTTTACCTCAAAGTCCACCCCGCAGGTCTGCCAGAGAGAGAGAGGACAGCTGTGAGATGGGGGTCAGAAGCCAGGAGCATCTGGACATGTTTCAACATCTTTCTGCGCACCAGAAATTGGCAGATTCCTGCCAGCTGCAAATTCTTCTGCCCTCCTACCACTGTAAGAGAGATCCCTGCCAACCTGGGTGCCAGAATCTACCTGTTCCATGATGCTTCTGGTAAATGAGGCCTAATTCCCAGCCTCCTGAAAGGCTTTCTGAGAGAGCAGTGCTGTAGAGGTCACAGCATCAGACTGACCAGTGTGCAAGGCTCTCCTGCCCACCTTGGATTTCTGAACTGAATTTCTGAATTGGCTTTGTAATGCCAATACCTTCTTTCCCAGCATCTAAGGAGTGGGAGTGATCAGGCCCAGCTGACCTTTGCTTTAACAGGTTTATGGTATCATGGGACATCTGCATGAGTCCCAAGTAACTCTCTACAGAGAAATTTTTGCTAGAATATCATTCCCTGACATAAAACACAGCTTATCCTTGTTGCACTGGATTTTGCACCTGGCCTGTTCTGCTGTTCAGAGAAGCATCCAGTGAAGTATAAAAAGAATATTTTAAATGGTATCAGAAACCTTGCAGAACATCTCATTATTTAACGACTTTTACTCCAGGGCTTTGGTTTGTTTACACACATGCACAAACCAGCCCTTTTCTGCATTTAATTCAGAGCAGGTCTTAACACGTATTATTTATAGCAATCTATATTAATCTATTTTAGGCACTCTGTCTCCTTTCCTTTCACATAGCCTCACAGCTACAACCATTTTATGTGCAACCAACCAACAGATCATGTGGTAATCTTAAGGAAGCTACAGCATTGCACATTTTGTAGTCTTGCTGCTATTTGTCTGGATTCCCTTTCTAATTTTGAAGACTTCGATTCCAACTCTGTGACATACACTTGTAGCCCTTAAGTCAGGTTCTTGACATTTGTGGCACAGCACAGTAAAATCCAGTATCACCTTCTCCTACTCTCAAGCTGGACAAATATATTCATGTGACTTTTTTCCATCTGACTTTCCCCAGCCATGATAAGCAGAAGTGTCCCATTGGTCTCACCTTATCAACATCACGAGGTGCAGGCTGCAGACAGACTGAGCAAGGCAGGTAATCTGGAAACTGTGGGAGGAAGAAGAGAAAATACCCCAAAGCAATATTACACAGATATTCTAGGTAATTTATTCCTCACAAAAGCAATTCTGTAGACAGTGGGTCAATCCCTGTCATGCAGTAACCCTTTGGAATTCTGGCTGGTACACTTGCCTTGTGTGACAAGTCCCTCTCTTTCAAAAATACTTTAACAGTCAAGATAGGGGGGAAAAAAAAAGTAAAAAAAGCCTAGGCACAACCTGGATCCTCCCAGGGAATGCTGAGGCAGACCTGTCACCGACAGTATTGGAAGCATATTCTGTCAGAATCAGTTTGGCAGGGAGCTGCTATTTGTTGACAACATCTGCTAAAGAGCTTTTCATCTGCTTATTTGATCCATAAGGGTTTTAAAGCAAAGGGATTTGGTGCTGAGGCAATGGTGTAAAGTATTCCAGCCCCTCAGGAATGGGAAGGCATAGGTATGTGGGGCTGTTGCTAGCACAAAGCCATTGCATATTCCCTTGCCATTTCAAAGAAAGCACTTTTCCCAGTGCAGTGATCATTGTGCAGTTAGGATCATCTTGCACTTTACTTCTCAGGACGGCAAGAAGAAAAAAAAAACCACATTTGTACACCTCCTGTCATTCAAAACTGGAATTTGCAGAATGTGAATTCACTATTAATTCCCACTTTCGGTCCATCACTGGGCCTCAACAGCCTGGTAGGAAGAGACAAGGAGAAGAGTCAGAGGCTATTCTGAGATACTCACTGTAAAGAAAAAGGGATAAGCATTTTTCCCCAGCTTCTTTAGCAGAGATTCCTGCAAGTGAGTAAGAGGCTCTGGCTTGTCAGCAGGAGGGAACACTTGGAGCCTGGAGAAGAACAGGTCCCGTCGGAAGGTGAGGCCCATCACATCGATGTCCTCCCGGCCGTACCGGAAAGCACAGGTGAGGGACACGTACACTGGGGACAAGCACAGGACAAGTCAGGCCTGCAGCAGGGTAACAGTGCAGCCAGGGTGGGACCTGGAATGCTCCTGCACTAGAGGCGTGGAAACTCATCCCAACACTTGCATAACCCAGTGAGTATTCACACCACACGTAACAACTTAGGTTACGTTGAGCAGGAAAACCATTTGTAGCCTCAGAACAATAAAAAGGTTCTATCTCGGCATCTCACTTCAAAAGATAACAATTTCTGAAACACACATTGCATAAAACCTCAAACCTTTTTTCCCCTTGATAAGAGCAGGATCCACCAGTACAACACCATCTGAAAGGAAGTTAAAAAATAACGATTAATGGAGGCTAATCAGGGCTGAGAGAGCAGGAAGGGCAGCACGTTTCCCTGTGGACTTACCCACAGGCTCCACGTTCCCAATGTTGTCAATGAAGTCCCGCTTTCCCAGGTAGATTGTCAGCTGTGGGGAGGAGATGACCATGGTTGAACTACAGAATGTTTGTGACTGTGTGTGGAGGGAAGGGGGACACGCACACATCAGAGAGCTGTAAATCTTGCAGAGATCAGGGCAATTCCATTTTAAATGGAGTAATTATTTTTTTCCAGCAAACATGCAATCCCCATAGGATTATCCACCTGGACTCACCAGGGTTATCCACATGCTTCCAGACATCAGAACTGAAGACCTGATCTAGACCAACTCCCAAAAGTACAACAAAAATACTTGTGCATGGGACCAAGAACTGTAGATTCAAAGATTTTTGGTGCCAGCAGGTTGGAAAGATGTTTTAAACATCTACCAGCAGGAGTACAACCCAGGAGGGGGGTGAGGTGAGCTGCCTTCCTCTTGTATTATTATAACATTAGAATTTTGCCCTAAGAATTGTTTACATCATCTCCTCAAACTTAGTGCTAATTACGGTTCATGGTTCTTCTTCAGGAAAAAATGAGGGCGACAGGAAAGAGTTTTCTATTTAGTCTCCAGTCTCACTACAGGTGAAACTCATACCTAAATAAACCCCTTCTTATGGTACTCACAGCTTTGTCACGGGTGCTTTTTTTGAAGACAACTTGTTGTTGTGGAGAACCAGCATTCTTCCCATCCATCCCTGGCTTTTGAGCCTCAGGGCAGCTGACAGTTAAAGATGGGGATGTGACTGTGGGTGAATGAAGGTTTTCTGCCCCAAAATGTCCTGGGAATGATGCCTGGGGAAAACAGGTGGATGAGACAAAAGCAGAATCATACCTGGTGGGTAAAGCACTGTACTCCTACGTATAGTTTGCCATTTCAGAGCTCCACACATACCCAAATATTGGCTAAGGCTCAGTCTAGGAGCTACAAGGGTGGTTTGTGTTGATAAGGAGTCAGACTGAACCCAAAATGAGAACACATCTGCCCTACTGCATTTTTCTCAACCCAGTGCAACCCATCATGTGCAGGGTATCACTGAACTCAAACCAGAATGGACTTTAGGAATAGAACAGTCCAGCTACCTGCCCAGACAGGTAACAGTTATAATCAGGGGTAGGGAACAGCTTGCACCCAAAGGACAATAACAGACAGAATAAAATTCTTCAGGAGGAGAAAAAAAGGCAGGGGGGAAGGGAAGAGGTAAAAAAAAAAAAGAGAAGGGGGGGGAAAAACAGAAGAGAAAGGGCACAAGGGCACAAGAGATATCCAGAGTGAGAAGTCCAGAAAACCTAAGTGGTACAAAGCAGAGAGATTAGTTTTTCATTTTGTTATGTCATAAAATAGCATCCAGTTAATGATCAGACAGCAAATTCAAAATAAGGTGGAGCTCTTCCCCAGTTAACAGAAGATTCAAGGCAGCTCTGGAAATCACCAATATGAGTTGGATCATAGGACTGGACACAGTCACAGGGAACAGGCTTTTGGCAGCTGTTGGACAGGGTGATTCAGGTGCAACCTTACCCCTGTAAGATGCTGAAGCTGAGGAGCAGCACCAGGAAAGGACGATGCTGCACTGCCCTGTCCTTACACTTCTCCCCATCCCACCAGAGTGAGGGGTTAGACACTGTTAGACACACCCCCGGCCTGCTGGTGCAGGACTGTCCTCACCATTTGCTCCCATTCTATTTCCCTGCTTGCTTTCCCATTTCAAAACTGCTTCAAGAATGAAACAGTTTCTAAGGCCCATTTGCAGACAACAAACCATAAAAAGAAGGAAATAGTTTGCTTCTCGGAAAGCTGAAAAAAATGTACGGCAGAGGTTATAAACAGACTGTACACATTTTTCTATTTTATGAAGTAGGTTTTCCATGTCCAGACCAGTAGATGTTGCTGACTAGATGTGCTACTCATGCTGTATTCAAATAAACAAACAAGCAAATAACGTTAAATACCTTGCTGTGTTCCCAGTGACACAGGAGCTTCCACAGACAACGATGGGGATTCCTAAACTCCTAAGGAGAGATGACTTTCCCAGGCAGTCGTGTCCTGTTCTTCTTTGCCTCTACCAGAGGGAATCACTGACCTCTTCACAAACAAGGAAGACAATTTGTAGGGGATTTGAAAGCTCATCTCTAGTTGCGTCCATCCAGGATTTCAAGTATTAATCCCCCTCCAAGAGCAAATATTGTACTTGGGCTAAGGGTCAACCGGGAAGTGGTTAAGTCAGCAACATAAGGCATTACCTAAGGACACTCAGACAGTCAGGGAAGAGGTCTACAGCGTCCTACTCACATGGTTTGTAAACACTGCACACTTACATAGGACAGGACAGTTACCAAAAGCAGCTTTATTTACTCTAATGCTCCATCTCCTCCTCCCTGGGGTTCCAAGACTTCCAGCCTGGTAAGAAGCTGAAGGGACAAAAGCCATTTATGAGAAAAGGAGTTTAGAAAAGACTAAAATGCCATTTTGATGGACCATCAAACACTGAGAACAATGTGTTATTCTCACAATCACTAAGCAATGGATCTATTATTGTTTCACCAACATCCCACTGGCATGTGATGCAAAACACTGTTGCTGGCTAGTACACCCCCTCTCTTAATTTAGAGAGGCACATCATCTAGGATTTAAGAAACAGCTATTTCAATTAACTTTAGCTTTTCTGTTCATAAATCTTCCAAGAGTAGCTTTACCCCCCACCAGTGAATTTGGCCTTGATATTTTGCTCTACAGCATGTGTAATTTTTGGCTTGCAAGCTGCAGGAACAGCTGTAGCTTTCCTCTGGCTGCATGTGTTCCTTTGATTCCAGGGATCACATGATATCCTCTCAACTTGCCAGCCCAAGAGCCCCTCCAGCTCAGGCAACCTTGCAGTCACAAATCAGGCTTGATTTTCACAAACCATCACCAACATTTGCCTGAATATAGTGGCCGGGTTACACAAATTATTTCCAAAAAACGAACCACAGAACCAGCGTTCCTCAGCTCTTTCAGAGTTTTCCAAATTCCAACAACATTTTATTAACTGGAGGTGGATTATTTGGAGAGCTTAATCACTGCTCTGTCTATTCAACTCTGGCAAACACAAACCAGCCAGGCTTAAACCACAGAAATTTACATGTGCCAGTGCTGCAGAAGGAAAGGCAGGTCCTGATTGTGGGAAGTAGGGAAGAAACTCCAGAAATTAGCTCAGCAAATTAACAACTTCTATTCAGTCACACTTTGCAAAAGCAAAAGGGAGAGTGCTGTTTTTGTACAAGTTTGTGCTGCAGCCACTGCAGGGTCATTAGTCCTCCAGGGGAGGATGAGCATTCCTGTTGGTACATGTGCCATTGCAAACATTCTCAGAGGACCTTGGAAACAGCTCCTCCATAACCCTTCGATCTGGGGAAAGATGCCCAGCCCACCCCTAAAACCACTTGAAGGGCAGCTCCACCTTTAGAAATGAAACTGCAACAACCCCTTCTGCACCTCAGGTCCCTTCCTTGGCTCTTCTTCCCTTTCAGGCTGAAGCAGAACAGGAGGCAACAGAAGTAATCAAAATATAGGGAAAAAAAAGCTAAAATTGCTCACTAGAATTTCCTGCATACCTTGCTCCTAAGGAACTTTAATCTAAAATGCTTAAGGTCTTAGCTAGCTGGCCATTACCCTTCAGCATTATTAACCTGCTTCATAACAGCATCAAGGGGCCAAATAAAGCCCTTTGTGCAAGATCTGTGTCCAGGCTGTAATAAAACACAAGTGTAGCAGCCTAAATTATAAACATCCTAAACCCATTCTGATCCTCCTGAGCAGAGCCTGCAGTTTTGATTACGTTAATCTCCCACTAATCTTTCATCATGCTGACTTGCCATTTAGGGATCTGCTTTTCCACAGTAACCAAGGTCACCCAGACTCGTGGCAGGTGCCTTTCCAAGGACTGTCTGCCACTGCAACAGGCAGAAGAAAAAAACACCTTGCCTTTAGAAATGGTTCAGAATACCAACTTTTCATTTTTACTACAGTTCTCACTTCCATGAGCTGGACAGAAGCTTCTTATGACAAAAGGAGGGTGGTGAGTGATGGCTCTTAGTTATGAAATGTGCACATTGAAGAGCTGAAGGCTTTGCTTCATTACTCTGAAGCTGGAACCAGAACACCATCTTCAGCAGGGGGGTTTGTGTTTTTAAAGAAATGTGCAACTCCTATTCCTGGCTTCAAAACTTCACAAGGTAGCAGCTGAAGTCTCACGGCAGGAAAAGCTTTCTATTTTCAGCAGTGTTTGAAATACAGATCCTGATTTCCTCTGTTCAGTAGTTTATCCAAAACATGCAAGAGTACATCAACCTTTCAAGGACAGAGGCACTTGTTCAGTGTGGCAAGACTTCCTTCAGTCTCAAGGCAGTATTCCTGGGACAGGGCACGGCCAGGCTGCACCTGTGGGATGTCCAGCTCCAAGCTTGGAGCATTATCCTCTTTGCCCCTCCAGACCAAATCCCACAATGTGGCTGAACACAAACCCACACTGCACCAGGAAAATGACATTTCAGGTTCCCCTCTGTGCTCATTCCCAGTGAGATCTCACACACACAGAAACACAAATGAATGAATCAGAGCACTGTGGGGTTTTAAAAGCAGAACACAGGTTTATTTACAATCAAGTTCTTATGGGCAGCTGAATAAATAAAAACTTTGCCCCATATACTCTAAGTCCCCTCTGCAGAAAGTGTCTGAACAAAAGGCTGGGTTAGAGGGAGCCTGTCAGAGCAGCTGCCCCCAGCCCAGCCCCTGAGAAGAACACACTTCCTCAGTAAAACACTATCGGGAAAGAAGAAAATAAAGTGCAAATAAAAAGGCAATAAAACGCTGGTGGCTTGTCTTGAGGCCCAGACGATGTGGAAAGGTTTGGCTGGATAAAGATATGCCAGGTAGGTCCCTCCCAGCCACATCAGGGGTTGGGGTGCCAGAACAGGGACAGAGCCAAGACACCGCTCCGTAACACAGAGGGCTCCAGCGCGAGTGGGAATATTGCACGTGTGCTCGAGAAGGGGCAAATGGCCTGGAATTGCCAGCACCAAAACAAACCATGGATTTGGGATCTGACCCCACTGCTCCCCTGTGTTCTACTGACAGCCGCCAGGACAGGACGGATGAACAGGGAAAGGGACCAAACACGTACATTCTGGGACTGAAGTCACAGTGTGACTGCACTCCTCATCACAGCAGCACAACTTCCACAACGAGTTCAACGAGCTGAACTTCTCTCTCCTCATGCCCAGAAACCAAACTGCCTGTGGTACAAAAAGATTAAAAATCTTCTATTTTGTGATGCCCAAGCTGTTGAAGGGCATTTCAACACGCGGGTGCAGAAGTCCTGAAGAACAGACCATCACCTCAGGAGCAAGTGAAACTGATACAAGGAGTTCACAGGGCAGTGCTGGAGAGCCTGTGCCAGGATCACAGCAGATCCAAACAGAGCTGGTAAAACTCCAAGGCAGAGTTGCCAGAGCCACAGGAGACTACTCTCTTTAAAAGCTGTTCCAACACTTCACACTGCCCAGGACCTGTCCACATTTCAGGATCTTCTCGCCCCACACCTGAACTTGGCCACGAGAACAGAACACAGGAGACAGGACATGTTTTAAGTCAGCATACACAGTAACTCCTTCCCAACGTTTCCACCTCAGAAGTGCTGTAGATACATTTGTGTGACAGGATATTTGGCACAGCTGTCTGGTGAGGAATCCTGCTAGTATCTTCTGCTCCACTTGGTGCAGAAGTACTGCATGTAAAGGCATGACTAAGTAGCATTCTCCATCCAGAACAGCTAATCCCTCGCCGAGTCCAAGTGCCACAGTGCAGTGACGGCCGTAAGAAGTCTGACTCAGGCTCCTTCCTCCATTGCTCTGGAACTTCCCTCTGGAAAGCGAAGCCCATGTGCTTGTCAATATCCCAACTCAGGATGAATCTGGGCTCGGGTGTCCCTCCTGTTCAGCCACGGAGCAGCAGCACCACACAGAGCCATGCACCCTCCAACAGTCAGAACTCAGCCCACAGCACAGCCTTGTTGCCCTTGTCCACACTGACCACGTGGGTACCCGCTGGCGACCACGCCACTGCATTGATAGGAGAACTGAAACAGAAGCCAGGGGTGAGTTCACAAGAAAGCTGAATTCCACAACACTGAACACAGGAATGAAATACTACAATACTGTGATCATCAGTTAAAAAGCACTTTCTCAGCCCTCAAGAGACTTGGCCTTCTAATAAGCCTGAGAGAGGTACAGTTTCTTCAAAATATATTGAATGTACTTTATTAGAATCACATCTCAGTTTAAGAAGGTAACAATAACAAATCTAACCTAATTCATCCTAGAGAATACTGTCATGAACCCATAAGGAATCTGCATGTTAAGAATTCTCACACACCAATGTAAGTTGCAAGGCTGTACAACAATAACTCTGTCATCGCTCAGCGAGATTCGCAACCCAGATCCCCACTTTGGATTGCACGTCCCGCCTTCCTCACCTGTGATGCTTTGCAAGCGTCTTCTCCAATTTCCCAGTAAGCACATTCCAAATGTAGAGGGCCCCATCAGCTGAACCAGCAGCCACATAGTTACTGTCAGGGCTACGAGATCAAACAAGGTGCGGAAGGCAAAGAACGAGTCAGCAATTTTCAGCACACACCATCAGTCCACCCACAACTTCCTAAGCAAGAAACTTGGCGTTAACTACTCTTTTCAGAGTTATGTGTTACCACCTGCCAGCACTAAGAGGTGAAAGCACTCTGAAATCAGAGTGTTTCACGACATTGGATCAACATCTAGAGACAACACTATCTTGACCAAGAGGAAATGCTGGGTCAGTCACCAACTCCACCCCAGTTTTCCTGGCTATAAGTGAGGACCAGTGCAGCCAAGCATCAGGAATTGCTCACTTTGGCTGCAGAAAGATTTATCAGGCACCTTGCTTATACCTGACCTTACCTGAACACAACTCTCGTCCAGTCAGAGCCACATTTGAATCCCTGGGCACTGAAAAGTTAGAATCAGACAACTGTTAACTAATTTATAAGAAGAG